TTTCAATTTGCCTTCTTTCTTATCTGCTGTACCTACTTACTAGTTTTCTGCGATTTATGCATGAGGACACCCAGATACCTCTGAATCAAAGTACTCTGACGTTTCTCTCCATTTAAATAATAAGTTGCCTTTTTATGTCTTCAATCAAAATGAATAATCTCACACTTATCCATGTTAAACTTCATCTGCCAAATTTTGGCCATTTAACAAACCTATCTGGATACATTTATAAATTTCTTACATCTTCATTGCATTTGCTTTCCTACCAATTTTCACGTCATCTCCAAATTTGGCTATCGTACTTTCTATCCCTGCACCCAGGTTATTAATATAGATTGGAAGTACTTTGGCCAGAGAACCGAATCCTGTGGTAACCCACTGGTTCCATCTTACCAACAAGAAAAAGACTCATTTGTCCCGATTCTCTGCTTTTTGTTGGTTAGCCGATCCTATAACCAAGCTAATAAATTATTCCAACCCTATGCTGGTCTTTAGAGATTAAGAATCTGGTGCTATGTAGTCTCTGACTATGTGGTAATAAAACTGGGGTTATTCAGGTGTATTACAATTTGTAAGCACCAAAACCAGGAGAGAAGTCAACCCCAGTCATTAGTTGGGTTCAGCTGTGATATCATTTGTCTTCAGATATACTTGCCATCTTTTCTAGTGGATAATTAATGCCTGTGAAGATCACTAGTGCACATTCAATTATTAACAGACAAAGGGACAGTGAAGACAAAAGTTCTAGCCTTTGATATGCCCTGACACTTCTGATCTTATGATGGAGGCAAGGTCATTGTTGAAACAGCTGAAGATAGTTTAGCCCAGGAGGAGCTTAAGGGTTCCTGTGGTAGTGCCCCTAACTCTGGACTAGGATCCCCATGTTCAAGTCCACCTGCTCCCGAGGTGTGTCATAACATCTGTGAACTGTTTGATTCAAATATCTACCCTGAGGAGCTTAAGGGCTTTTGTGGTGCTGTAGTATCCCCATCTCTGAGCCAGGAGACTTGGGTTGAAGTGCCACTAACTCCAGAGATGTGTAATAATGCCTCTGGAACAGGTTGATTAGAAAACATATCATACTCCTACTGGTGCTCTGGAACTAAAATGGATGACCTTTTACAACTGTAGCCATGTACCCACCGCAAAGGAAGATGGTTGTGGGTCAGTCATCTCAGCCATAGGACATTGCAGCAGGAGTACCTCAGGGTAATTTCCTAGGTCCGGCCATCTTCAACTGCTTCATCATACGATGACAAGTGAGAATGTTGCTGATGATTGTGCTATCAGTGCTATTTGTGACTCTTCAGATACTGAAATGATCCATGTCCACATCAGCAAGACCTGGACAGCACCCAGGTTTGGGCAGACAAGTGGCAAATAGCCTTTGCACCATATAAGTGCCAGACAATGGCTATCTCCATCAAGAGAGAACCCAATCATTGCCCCTTGACTTTCAGTTGTGAATTCCCATTGTCAGCACCTTGGAGTTACCATTGACCAAAAGCAGACCCTGACATGTAAATACTGTAGTTAGTAGCTTGTAAACACCATGGTCACAAGTATAGGCCATAGGATGGGAATTGTGAGACAAATAACTCCTCTCCTGATGCCATTAAGCTTGTCCACCATCTACGGGGTACAATTCAAGAGTTTGATGGAATACTCACCACTTTGTGGAAGAGTAGAGTACCACTAACATTTAAGACACTCTGCGTCGTTCAGGACAAAGCAGCCTGTTTGTTCAGCAATCCATCCACCACCTCTGAAATTCAGTCCATCCACCACTGACCCAATGGAAGCCATGTGAACCTTGTGCAAGATGCACTGCAGCAACTCAACAGCAAGCAGCCCTTCTCCACCCTGCCAAAATCCTTCACTGTATTGGTTCTGGAACTCCCCAACAGTACTGCGTGAATACGCATCTCTTATGGACTTCTGCTGGTGAGGCAGGTAGTTCACTGCCAGTTTCTCATTAAATGTGGCCTAGCCGGCAACAGCCACAACTCGTGAATGAATTTTAAAAATATGTTTCTAGTCTAAGTTGGTACTATATAAGTGGTCACCCTGCTTTAAGGACAATACATAATGTCCAAAGTTGATGGAATTTATCTTGTAAACAGTACACCACTGATTGAACTAGAGCTTTGCTGATAGTGTTCATTTTAAGACTGTATCCTGTTGGTTTTCTTTGGCAGCAATGGGGTCTACTGGGACCAAAGAATCAGCTGTTCCAAGCTCAAGAATACCAGGATTTGGCTGCAAAATTTGCTGCTTTACCTCTAACTGAGGTGGACTTAGTGATGGACAACTCAACCAACAATACTCATAAGATAACCTCCAGGCAGGAGAATGTTCAGAAAGAAGTATCTGAACCAAATGAAATGGGTCTGCCAGAGGAAAATGAGATGGACCAGGAGGCAGAGGAAGGGACAATGGATTGCGCAGAGTTTCTCTCTATCACAGACAAAGCACCGCAGCACAAACTGATGTCAAGGTAATCTCAATAGTTGTTTAATCTTTTGTCTTGAAGTGTCGGCTGGATGCAGCAAATCCAACAATTGTGAGGGAAGCTGTGACACTGATACCTGTGATTGCCTGGTTTCATTCTCTTCTCTTGTTCTTAATTTACTGCTATGTTTGGATGTTCGCCTTCAGACATTCAAACTGGCGACTGAAGCATGAGGCTATAAAGCTTCTAGTATCTAGCATCTGCAGTAATTTGACTATTTAGGGCTGCAGTGCCTGACCAAACCAGCACCATCGTTAAAAGCAGAGTATAAGATATACAAGAAGCATCGTGGTGTCAGGCTTGCATCAGTGGTACTACTTTTGCCTCTGAGGCAGAAGTTCATTGGTTCATGTCTCAGTACAGAATCTTGAGCAAGCAATCTAGGTCTAGACTGGCATCTAGCTAGGTGCATAATCTGAGATACATATACTTGAATTGATAAAGGAAAGAAATGTATAATGAGAAAGGAACAATTAACAGTCTAGCTGCACAAAGTCTCTTGGGGAAGAGTGACCATAATGTGATAAAATTCTTCATTAAGATGGAAAGTGACATGGTTGATTCTGAGACTAGGGTCCTGTCTAAATGAAGGAAATTGTTTAAAGGGATAACGGTGAATTGGCAATGGCAAACAATTAAAGAGCTCAAGGAGGAACTGTAAAAATTGTTCATTTCTGATTGGCACAAAAACAAAAAGGAAAAGGTGGTCTGATCATGACTAACCAGGGCAATTAGGGATACTATTAGCTCCAAAGAAGGAGCATACAAATTGGCTACAGAAACACATCTGAGAATTTAGAGAGCTTACATTTCAGTAAAGGAGGTCAAGGGAATTGATTAAGAGGAGGAAAATAAAGTATGAGTGTAAGCTTGCATGGAAGCTTACTGATTGATTGTAAAAGTTTTTATAGGTATGTGAGGAGAAAAAAAGTTGAAGACTACTTTAGGTTCCTTACAGTCAGAAACAAGGGAATTTGCAATGAGGACAAAGAAATAGCAAACCAATTAAATACATATTTTTGGCTGTTTAAGGGGCCCTATTCTCTCCTTAGTTATGCTTTTGCCCTTAATATATTTGTAGAATCTCTTTGGATTCTCCCTAACCCTATTTGCCAAAGCTATCTCATATCCACTTTTTGCCCTCCTCATTTCCCTCTTAAGAATACTCCTACTCCAGGGATTCACTCAATCCCAGCTGTCTATACCTGATATATGCTTCCTTCTTTTTCTTGACCAGAGCCTCAATTTTTCTAGTCATCTAGCATTCCCTACGCCTACCAGCCTTGCCCTTTATCCTAACAGGAACATACTGTCTCTGAACTCTTGTTATCTCATTTTTGAAGGTCTCCCACTTTCCAACTATCTCTTTACCTGCAAACAGCCTCCCCCAGTCAACTTTTGAAAGTTCCTGCCTAATACCGTCAAAATTGGCCTTTCTCTAAGTTAGAACTCTAACTTTTAGATCAAGACAACCCTTTTCCATAACTAGTTTAAAACTAATAGAATCATGATCACCTGCCCCAAAGTGCTCTCCCACTGACACCTCGGTCACTTGCCCTGCCTCATTTCCCAGGAGAAGGTCAAGTTTTGCTCCTTCTCTAGGAAGTACATCCACACATATTGAATAAGAAAATTTACTTGTACACACTTAACAAATTCCTCTGCATCCAAGCCCTTAACACAATAGCAGTCCCAGTCTATGTTTGGAAAGTTAAAATCCCCTACCACTACAACCCTATTATTATTACAGTTATCTGAGAACCCCTTACGTATTTGCTTCTCAATTTCCCGCTGACTATTTGGGAGCCTATATTACAATCCCAATAAGGTGATCATCCCTTTCTTAATTCTCAGTTCCACCCATATAACTTCACTGGATGTTCTCCCTGGAATATCCTCCTTAAGTACTGTAATGTTATCCTTAACTAAAAACACTACTCCTCCACCTTCCTTGCACCTCTTCCTATCCCTTTTATAGCATGAATACCCTGGAACATTAAGCTGCACTATTTCTTTGGCACCACCCTCCCTACTGGTTTAAAACCTCCCGAATAGCACTAGCAAATCTCCCTGTTTGGAACTAATACATAAGGCCCTCTAGGCACCATGCATCTCTGAAGAAAAGGCTTGCATCTTACGATATTAAAGGATGGCAGGGAGAGGTGGGAGAGCAATTATTCAAATAGCCATCGCTGTTGTTCGTAAAAATTGCACTACTTTCCCAATTGTCAAGATTTGTTTCTGAGCTCTTGCATCTTGTGGACTCCCAGATTTGAAGTTGCATGTTTGGGGGCAAAAAGAAAGATAGGGAGTATTGAACCTGAGTTTTGGCCATGATTAAAGATCAGCGTAGGAGTCAATCTTTATAGATTATTGAGTCTTCTGCAGATAGTTATCTTGGGTTCTGCCCTGACCTTTCCTTCTCTTTTTAAGCTCATTCTGTGATGTCATAAACTGTTGTGATATCAGTGATGCCACCATCACAAAGTAACAGTTTGTCATTGTTCAGTAGTATCATTCTAGAACAAGATTTACTTTTGAATGCATTCTGTATGCAATCTCTTTGTGGCATTGTATAATCAACATACTGCAGTTTCTTTTTCTTCCCTGTGCCCACTGTTTATCTGGGTCAGTGTTAACACCGATTATTTACTCTGTTTGACAGAGCGGTTCAGCATATCATGACAGATAACACCAGTGTGACGAGGGCCCTCACACAGTTTCCTGAGCCGAAGAACCTCCTGTCAAAGGTCATACAAATAGCGACCACCTCCTCTACAATCACAGTACGTAAAAGCGAATGACGTGGAAATACTTTGGTTGCTGTCCCTCTCCAAGTCCTGACAAGGCCTGATTTGGGGTTGAGAGAAGGTGGAAAGAAGGGAATGTTGGCTGGGGATGCCAGCAGGTAGAGTTGAGTACTGTAGGCAAGGTTAATGCTCTGGAGTTTTGCTTAATTATTTATTCTTAGGGACCAAGCAATTAAATGTCTAAGTTGAATCTAACGTAGGAAGTTTCTCCATGTGAAGAGGGATTAAATGGTGCGTAGAGTCCTTGAAAGGGCCAAGTGTACAAAACTATTATTGCTGCCTGCCCCACCAAAACATTACTTGTCGTATTCAAATCCTTCTCAACGAGGGTTTTATGAAGGAATTAGCTCAAACGGTGGAGTGCTTGCTTAGCAAGCGAGAGAGATAAATGCCCACATTCTCTGTTTTGGTTTCGGCATAATAGGAGTGATAGACTGAATGGTCTGCTTTTGCTTTTAGGTCTTATAATCTTCTTTGGTTATTAAAAAATAATGTTACTACTCCACACTTAAACTTTTACTTTAAATAGTAATATCTAGCAGAGTTAAAATTACGAAAGAGGGTAAAAGCAGAGTTGAATTTCTCTAACACCTCATCCCAAAGTTAACTGTTTCATTAACTGAATAACTGACTTGAGTATCCAGTGCCCATCCAGTATTTTTGCTGTATTATATGGGTTACTGGACTTTTTTTTTGCATGTTTTAAATTTGCCACACATTTTTGTAACAGTTAAAATAAATAAAAGCAGCTAATTATAATATACATAAATATTCATAATAGAAAATGCCAGAGCCAAATTTTCTTCAATTTCTTCATTGATTTTTGCCATTCGTAAATGAGATTTCTTCTATTCAGTCTGAATATTAATGTTTTGGGTTTGTCCGATCTTTATTTCTTATAATTTAGTTCATAGCCTTAAAAAAAAGACTTTAGCCTTAGAATAATTTAGCATGTCCACATGGTATAACTCCAATGTTGTTACATTATATGACTGCTAAATTACACCAGGTAAGCTAGATTGATCCATTCCTTGTTTGGTTCATCGATTCCTATATTTCTGCTCATGTAAATGGCAGTAACACCATTTTAACCTTTTGTGTGCTGCTCCACCAGGACTATCTGAAATACACCACAGAAGATGGTCCTGTCAAGGTATGCCGGCTTGAGATGCAGTGGCCGACCCCGATGACCTTCGTTGCAAGTGGCCGGCGGAAAACCGAGGCAGAAAGAAGAGCAGCAGCTTTAGCCTGTAAGAAGTTGAAGGTGATTGCAACTTGCTGCATGCCATGCTTGTGCACAGCATTGAGCTGGTGTATTGCAGCTGTCAGTATTAAATCTCTCTGTTTTCCCATGTGAAGTATCAACTGAATGATTGCATGGTGTTGGTTCGCTGTCAGACCTCTTATTCCTTTCTAGTGAGGTGCTGGAATTTTAAATTTGTCACCTGAGGTATCAGAAGAGCTGAGTTGGATTAGCAATCTTAAAGCCTGTGTGAGTATTCTAGATGCCTCAATAGCAAGCTGAGCAGTGTGAGTGGTCAGTGAACTGTACAGTGGTACTTTAGCCCCTGATTTGGGAATTTAGTAGTTATCTGGTGGGGCATTGCTTATGACTAGTGCTGTTGTGATGGCACTATCAGCATGTAGAGTGTTCAAGATGGCCCACTTGCCTGACAACTAGTTAGGGACAGTAAATGCAACTTTATCACATGGTGCAGACATTACTGGTAAATGGGGCCTTCATACTGGTGCGTGGAAGAACTGATTGTGATTCTCTTGCTTGATAGAGTGAAATGGTTTCTCTATATGCCTCATTAAATACAGAACAAGTTAGTTATGGAATAATGAACTCACTCCAAACTATTGAGTCAGACATTTCCAAGGCAGGCACAGCACTGATTATATTCAGTAATTTCCCTGCTCACAGCTGCTGCTTTATTTCCTTAACCTCAATCTCAGTTCTCTATTCCACCAGAGTAGTATTTTCCCAATTCTTTCACCCAGTCAATCTATATCCTTTATGTGTGAGATTTTCAGACAGAGCTAAATTAGCAGGTGCCTTTCATACTTTGCATGCACATCCTTCAGGAATTGGAATAGGACCTTCCCTGATATCCATCAGTGGAGATAATTATTCCTTCAGCTTGAACTGGATTTGATGCAATCCTGAAGATGAAATCGCTGCACTACATCATCTGCAGTGATTATGTATTTGTGATCTACATGTCTAATTTGGCCATTTTTACTATATTGTACTTGCTATATTTCAAAAAAAAAGGTAGAGGAAAAACCTGTGTGTGGTTATGTCTGCTTTGCAGGATCTTGGTTTGCTCAACCAGGAAAATCATCCACTGACCCATGCCATGTACAACTTGGCCGCAATAAAAGAGTTGAGCGAAAAGGAGCGGCGGCCGACCAGGCTAGAAATCCCAAACAGCCTCCAGCAACGAATCCAGCAATATTTGGACCAGGTCAGTTGCAGCCTAGCATCTCTTGGAGTAAACTCTGTCTGCCAGTTACTTAGAATTGTTGATGTTCAGACTGCCTTGTTTTATTATGATCATTTTATAAACCTTGTTAAATCTGTGATATGTATCATTCTTTTCAAGTTTAAATAATCTTCCTTTAAAACTGTCGGGAGACTAGAGAGGCTGGGATTGTTCTTCTTAAAGCAGAGAATGTTTAAATTGAAAATTGAATGATTTGAAAGAGTGGATAAAGAGAAACTGTTTCCAGTGGCAGCAATATGGGTAATTGGAGGTTATAGATCTAAGATAACTGGTGAAAGACCAGAGAGCAGGCAAGAAGAAATGTTTCTATGCAGGAGCTCTGATGATTTTGAATGCACGACCTGAGACAGACAATGGAAGCCAGTTCAAAAGTAGCTATCAAACATGTGCTTGAACAGGAAAGAACAGTGGAGTAGGCCTAATTAATATTTCTTTCAAAGAGACAGTACAAAATTAATGGACCAAATGGTGACATCTGCAGTAAGATGCTAATTTTATGAGCAGTTCTCTTGTAGTTGAACTATACAGGCTTTAAACGTTCCAAGGCTATCCTTTGAGTGCATGCCTGTATTAGGGATGCTTGTGGAATTTCTGATTTTGGAGATGAATGTTTGTGGGGAGTACATCAACACAAAACTTGATCCAATTTCCATCTGACCTCTCCAGCCACATGTTCCAACAGAGTTTGCTGTATCCTGATGCAGAATTCCTGGTGGCTATTCCCCTTCCTCCCTCTGTAGCCAAGTGATACCAGAATCAGCTGTATAAAGTAACTCTCATGACAGCAACATGAAATTATTTTATGTTCACCTGAGAGGCCAGGTGGGACCTCAGTTTAACATTCATCCAAAACACATCATAGTTTAACACTGCCGTGGATGTCAGCATTTTATTTGTGCTTTAGTCTCCAGAGTGGTCTGTGAAGTCAAATCCTTCTGACCCATGCTTCCAACTGATCCGTAGCTGATGTCACATCAATGAACAGAGTCTTTCTGAACATAGTATTATCTCTTGTCCACTTGATACGCAGATGTGAATTACGAAGGAACAAAAATAAAACCCCTGGACTATATTTCTAACCCATCTGAATGTTAGGTGTCAGGAGCTGGTTGAAACTATAACTTTTCAAATTGCTGTTCAAAATTTGTCTTTGTTGATTTTGTATCAGAGAACTGCAGTAGAGATGTAACACATGTCCTAGTAGGTTTGAACAAATGAAGAGAGCTTGTTTATCTGCTGCTGAAGCTGTTAAATGAAAATTCATTGACCGCTGCTTTTATTAATTCCCTTGATCTGAACTGAAACATTAGTAAAATACACTTATTCAAAAGAAACCTGACTTATTATTTTGAGTTTTTCATACCTCTAACAGGAATTAATTTAACAAGGAAAACTGAAACATTATTGTAGTTTTCCATTCCTTATCTGATGAATTCACCTAGATAACAAATAATAATCTCTAATACTGAGGATGGTGGGAAGAGGATGGGAGTGGGACCATTTGGTTGCTACTCCGAAGAGTCAATAGCTGAATGGCCTCCCTTGTCCTTCTAAAAACCATTCTCTATACTCGTGAATCACTCATACTCGGAGCCTGTGCAGACCAGCTGGCGGGAGTATTCACGAACATCTTTAACCATGTTACGATCTAAAGTCCCCACCTGCTTCAAGAAAAACACCATCATCCCGGTGCCAAAGAAGAATCATGCAGTGTCTCCGACCTCCATAATTATGAAGTGTTTTGAGAGGTTAGTCATGGCTCACGTCACCTCCAGCCTACCAAATTGCCTTGATCCTTTGCAATTTGCCTACCGGCACACCAAGTCCGCAGCAGATGCCATGTCCCTGTACTCCTCCCTGGAGCATCTGGATATCAAGGATACCATGACTACAGTTGGGCCTTCAACACTATAATTTCAAACAAACTCCTCTCTAAAACTTGAGACCCAGGTCTGGTCTTCTCTCTCTGGAACTGGATTCTCGACTTCCTGATCCATAGACGGCAATCAGTAAGAATAGGCGACAACACCTCCTCTACCATAACCCTCAACACCAGTGCCCTGCAATGCTGCATACTCAGCCCCTTAATATATTCCTTATACGCTCACAACCGTGTGGCCAATTTCCGCCCCAACTCCATTTACAAGGTTGCTGACAACACCACTGTTATAGGTTGGATCTCAAACAACAACAGGGCAGAACACAGGTAAGAGATTGAATGCTTAGCAGCATGGTGTAAAGACAACAATCTCTCTATCAACGTCAGCAAAACGAAGGAGCTGATCATTGACTTCAGGAAGTGGAGTGGAGGGCAAGCCCCTGCCTGCATCAGTAGTGCTGAGATGGATATGATCGAGAGCGTCAAGTCCCTGGGAGTGATGATCGCCAACAGTCTGTCCCTGGTCCACCCACGTTAACATGATGGTCAAGAAAGCACAACAACATCTCTACTTCCTCAGGAGGCTAAGGAAACATGTCCACAAGGATTCCTGCCAATTTTTATAGATGCACAATAGAAAGCATCCTATCTGAATGTATCTTGGTGTGGTATGGCAACTGCTTTTCCCAAGCCCTCAAGAAACTACAGAAAGTAGTGAATACAGCCCAGTCCACACCTTCCATCCATTAACTCCATCTGCAGTTCCTGCTGCCGCGGGAAAGCAACCAACATGATCAGAGACTCCTCCCACCCCAGTTATACTCTCTTCTGTCGGGAAGAAGATATAAAAATTTGAATACACGTACGAATAGATTCAAGAACAGCTTCTTCCCTGCTGTTATCATGGTTTTGAATGGACTTCTGAAATGTTAATTCTGATATCTCTCTCTCTCTCTTTCTTTCTCTCTGCACCTTC